ACTTGCAGCTGAGTGTCGCCTTTATATAGCAGTCGGCTGCTCGCAGACGAAAGCGTAGAAGCATCGAATTGTTCGCTATGGAAGGTTCTTGTTTTATCGTTTCTAGAACGTACTAGTTATCGGCTTCTCTCTTTCATCTGACATTCGCCTCGCATTTTCGCAACAATATTAAGTACCAAGACGATTCATTCAACTATTGGCACTGCGTTGCGCAACGCGGCGATAAAGATCTCTCTGTTTGAAAACTATCTGTTATGCTCGTAAGTTTTATCGATTTTATTGATATCGATTTGTTATGTGTATCAATAGTTGTTTTGCGGTGGGAATTGTGGCAATTGTCGGCGTGCGTTTATATTAATCTTCCACAAACAAACTATTACCAAACAGAGAAAGATGTCAGAGAGTGATTCGGATAGCAGTACTTCTAGCAGTGGGAGTGGTAGTTCAAGTTCTTCAACATCATCCACTAGTTCGGACGAATCTGCAAATAGCCCTAAAGTGTCTACGGTCGAAAAAAAGCTAAGTGATTCTGCCACAGAAAAAGACAGTTCTTTGTCAGCGAACACAGAAGAACGTGAAAATTATCCAGCTAAAAATGATAGTGAGGTGAAAAGTGGTCAGGAGGAGGTAATAGAGTCAAAAGTTGAAATTGAAAATGGTGTAAGTAAAGACCAAAGCACTAACGAAAAAAAGGAGGCAGACCAAAAAAACACTTCGGAAGAGATCGAAGAAGGTGAACTTGATAATGAAGGCTCAAATGATAAAGAAAAATTGGATGACACGACATCAGGGGAAAATGAAGTACAATTAAAAAACGACAAAGAAAAAATTAATGTGGTTGTTGTGGAAGAACCTGCTGCTGGTGACAAGCTAGAGGATGAGACACCTGTAGTAGATCAGGATCCGCAAACGGTTTGGCTTTCAATATTTAATTCATAATTATTGTACTAATGTTTTGTATATCCTTTTAGGTAGGTGAAAACATTTCCGAGAAGGAAGGCGAACCTAAGGGCGACAACAATAAAATTCAGGAAATAAAACATAATGGCACTGAGCGTAGAAGGCGTCAAAGGTCACGCTCGCGATCTCATAATCGTGAACAAACCAAGTCCCGTAGACGAAGCCGTTCGAGAAATCAGTCCTATTCAAGACAACGCTCACGCACTCGTTCGCTCTCTCGCAAACGGTCACGGAGGTCAGCGTCTTTAGAAAGACGACGAGAAGAACGTAAGCGGCGTCATGCCGAGCGTGAACTACGTGATAATGAAGACCGCAATAAAAGACGGCGTGAACGGGGGAAAAAATCACGTAGTGCTGAAAAATCTCCCAAAAGTAAAGCGGCTTCTACTGTTAGGAAAGAAGCTGACGCCCCCAATATCAAAGATACTGAAAATGACAACGCTACCGTTACAGATCCCAAAGCTAAAATTACTGAACGCCAACGTCGCACTGTAGACCTACTAACTTCCCGTACGGGTGGAGCTTATATACCACCAGCTAAATTGCGTATGATGCAAGCTGAAATAACTGATAAAGCCTCAGCTGCATATCAGCGTATCGCTTGGGAAGCATTAAAAAAATCCATACATGGTTATATTAATAAAGTAAATGTAGATAACATAGCGATTATAACGCGAGAGTTACTCAAAGAGAATATTGTACGTGGACGTGGCTTACTTTGCCGTTCTATCATACAGGCCCAAGCTGCTTCGCCAACTTTCACACACGTCTATGCTGCGTTGGTATCAATAATCAATTCGAAATTTCCAAATATTGGCGAATTACTTCTTAAGAGATTGGTAATACAATTCAAACGCGCATTTCGTCGAAACGACAAAGCTGTATGCTTATCGTCTTCACGATTTGTTGCACATTTGGTAAATCAACGTGTGGCACACGAAATTCTCGCACTTGAAATATTAACATTGCTAGTAGAAACTCCAACAGACGATTCTGTTGAGGTTGCTATAGCTTTCTTGAAAGAATGTGGTATGAAGTTGACAGAAGTGTCCTCGAAAGGAATAGGTGCTATATTTGAAATGCTAAAGAACATCCTCCATGAAGGAAAATTGGATAAACGCGTTCAGTACATGATTGAAGTTGTTTTTCAAGTGCGGAAAGATGGTTTTAAGGACCATCAATCTGTGATCGAGTCTTTAGAGTTGGTGGAAGAGGATGACCAGTTCACACATCTTCTTATGCTAGACGATGCAACAAATCCAGAGGATGCTTTAAGTAAGTTGTGCTTTTAGAAATATGAAAAAAGTTATAAAAATATTTACTACCAGTTTATTTATTTTATTTTTTATTTTTTGTTGTAGATGCCTTCAAATTCGATGACCAGTATGAAAATAATGAAGATAAATACAAAGGGCTTAGCAAAGAGATATTGGGAAGTGACGCTAGTGGCAGTGAAAATGGTTCAGGCTCTGGCAGCGATTCTGACAGTGAATCTGGAGATTCATCAGATTCAGATAATGAAGGAAAAGAGGAGGGTCAGCCCACAGCTGGAGACATTATTGACAATACTGAAACAAATCTGATTGCATTAAGACGTACCATTTACCTTACAATTAATTCAAGTTTAGATTATGAGGAATGTGCTCATAAGTTAATGAAAATGCAATTGAAGCCGGGGCAAGAGATTGAACTATGTCACATGTTCCTTGATTGCTGTGCAGAACAGCGGACATATGAAAAATTCTATGGCTTATTAGCTCAAAGATTTTGTTCAATCAACAAAATTTACATTGAACCTTTTGAGGAGATTTTTAAGGATACCTATCAGACGACACATCGTTTAGATACAAATCGATTGAGGAATGTGAGTAAGTTTTTTGCACATCTACTCTTCACGGATGCCATAGGTTGGGATGTGCTTGAATGCATAAAGCTGAATGAAGACGACACGACTTCTTCAAGTAGAATTTTCATAAAAATTCTCTTCCAAGAGTTGGCCGAATATATGGGACTTGGGAAACTCAATACAAAACTTAAAGATGAAGTTTTGTCTGAAAGCTTAGCTGGACTATTTCCCAAGGATAACCCGAAAAATACAAGATTTGCCATTAACTTTTTTACATCTATAGGTTTGGGCGGGTTAACTGATGAGTTAAGACAATTTTTGAAAAACGCACCAAAATCTGTGCCGGCAATTAATGTTGAAATATTAGCACAGAAACCTGTTAATAGCGCTTCCTCAACTAGTTCATCGTCCTCGGACACATCGTCATCATCATCCTCATCATCGGAATCATCTACGGAAAGTAGCTCCTCTTCTAGTGATACGACTAGTTCCTCCGATTCCGAAAATGAAAAAAGGAAGAAAAAGAATCTAAAAGGCAAAGCGGGTGACAAAAGTAACAACCGAAAGAAAGCAGCTACTAAAGAAACGATGTCGAAAAAGTCCAAAAATAATAAAAACAGGCGCAAAAAACGTAGCAAAACTGAAAGTACTAGCTCCTCGGGAGACTCCTCTGACGCAAAGAGCAGTGAAAGCGATGTAAGTAGCAGTGAAAGTTCCAGTAGCAGTGACGATAACAAACGTAAAAAGAAACAGAAGATCCAATCTAAGAAACATAAAAAAACGTTGACTAAAGAAAATAATGAATCCAGCAAACCAAAGGTAACAAAGTCGACGAAAGCAGAACGAAACGGCCGTAATGTTGCAGTAAATAGCAGAAGCGATGATAAGCATTCTGATACCTATACAGACCGAAGACGACGAAAGGATAAGTCTCCTGAGAGAAAGGCAAGAGAAGATAGAGAGCCTAATCGGGATCATAGGGAACGTAAGCGTGATCGTGACTCGAGAACAGATTACCAAAAGGATCGCGACAGCAGACGTCACCGTAGCCGGAGCCGGAGCCGTAGTCGCGGTCGCAAAGAACCCACTAATTACGACAAACGAAGTATACGATCAACACGCAACGCGTCCAAGGAACGTGGATAAATTTTTGTATTTCTATGAGGAGATTTGGAACAACACTTAAATAAACTATTGTCGATTTTTTATCTGATAAAAAAATAAAATAATTGATATTGTGTTAAGTAAAATTGTTTATGATTTTTTGAATTTGGATAAAGTAGACGTAGACCAAAGAAATTTTAATAAGGCCAATTATTATTGCTATTCATAGCTTCGTGTATTTCGTCGACCGAAATCAATTCGTTTGCTCGTTTCAATTTATTATGCGTAGCATCCCAAACCATATCGAATTTTTCTTCATCTAGTAAACGTTTAAATATTCGACGCAATTCTTCTTTTGGACGTAGTTTGGCAAAATCACTTGGACCTAAACCAAAGTGCATAGGTATATCAGGTGAAATAACATCTTTGACCGTCGTGGGCTCTGAACTTTTCTCTGGATCAAAACGTTTTAACGGTATCGATTCAATTGCAGGTTTTGTGCGATCTTGACACAATAATCGGTAGGTAGTTTTCTTGTTGTAAATATTCGGAGGCATTTTTGATATATTACCAATTTTGGGAATAGGATACTGAACGTGTATTAATTTCCATAGCTCCTCATATTTCACACCTTCTGTTGGTAGACCTTCGTTTTCAATTAATTTGAAATGTCGAAGCGCAATCGTTATCTTATCCGAATTACAATAAACTCCCTCTTGTCGCAGAATTTCAAATAATTGACTCAATGTTAAAAGCCCAGTTTTTTTAATGTCCTGCTTCTCCAAAGCCAATTTTAAGTCCTGCATATGAAAGTTTTTACGTTCGAAAAGCCTCTGGCGCACTTTGTTCAAATGACCCAACGCAGTAATAAGAGGACTTGATCTTTCACATTGATTCTGTAGTTGCATTAATGTCTTCACATCACATTCATCTGCTCCAGTAGGGGCACCGAAAGACATGTCGGGTGTGATATAACGATTTTCTCTTCAAAAGGTAAAGTTTTTAAGGTTAGAAAAAATTGTGATAAATAGAGCTGAAACAGTAGTAACAATTATTTTATGTCCTATTTAGTCTCTACAATGTTGTTGTTATAGCGGTAGTTCCAAACCGGTTTAGGGACATACTAGTTGGTTGGTCAGAGGAAGAGGGGAGGTTGGATATGTCGGTTTTAAGGGGCATGTAAAGAGGTGGTTATTGGACTGTTTTCATGCTGGACATACGTTAAGTCTTTTTTTCAGGTGCTACCGCTTAGCGCTTTGAGGATTTTGTTGCTGTTGTGGAGTTTTGCGGCAATCGCGGTTGTATGTGAAGCAGTTCAGACTGTTGAATGTAACTCCAAGTAACTTTTGTATTAAAAAAAATTAAATTAATTAAAATTCACATCGAGTTCAAGCCTGTACTCCTTTGGCCAGCTGGTAAATAAAGGGCAGCCGGGAAACCCACTTTTCAATCAAACGCCGAACGCAGCTATGGGCGAAGAACCTATTGTGTACTTTTTAACACTTTTTCCAACATGAAAAAAAAACGTGTACGGTACGAGGAAAAAAACGGTTAATATACCAAGGTAGGGAGTCTACCTACAATGTGCAACAAACCCCACTTTTCTATCACTTCCGGGAGCGGAGTAGTAGGTCAAGAACTGAAACTGAAAAAATACGATTTTCCCATTTTTTTGTGTATACCGAAATGTTTTTAAGTGTATATACGCTACACGCGGGCCAGCATGATATGTATACCGTCCGATAAGTAGAGAGTCAAGCTACACTATGCAACAAATCGCTCTTCTAACACACTTGGTTACCGAGCAAGAGGACGAACGAACATAGTCTAGCAGAATCCGTACATAAACCTGAACAGATGGAAGCACCTGGTGGTAAAAGGTGTATAAACGATCCCTTCGGTCTCGTCTAGGGCAGTAACTATAACAACGAGACCATCGAAAAAACATTAAACTTACTCACTCATCAATTATCTTTGGGCCTCTTGCCTCTTGCGGGGCTTAACTTTTTATTCAAAAAATTATTTATAGATGTCACATCTATAACAGGGGACATGTAACATTAGTAAAAATAAGGCAATAATGAAATTGAGAGAGTAAGATGTCGTATTTTACCAAAGAATGAAATTTACTGCTTTTTTACTTGCAGAACTTGCATCTTTCTCTCCAAACTAATCGTCTAAATTTCGCTCTCTCGTTATTAATTTTACTAGGTTTTTGGCTCGCCGAACTCGATTCATTAATAAATTAAATTACTGCCCATCAACTTACCGAACAGAACTATTGCCAAAAATTGTATAAATCTATAGCTCAAAAATTCGTGATCAAGATCAAAAAATTTATAAGTGTCCAATCTTGAATCCTTTTGAAAAATATGAAATATAAGCTATGTATATATGCCCTGTATTGGTGTCCGTTTTTCAAAAACTCTCCCTCGGATTGTTAACTTACAAGCCAATCCTGCCCAAAGATGGCAGATGGTTTTCCGAGTTCATATAAGAAAGAGGTGGCTTACCGTCAACTGGTCTAAACGGAAACCGATTGAATGAATCAAATGAATCTTATTAGATACTTTCAAAAACTTTTAATGTCGACTTAGCTAACATAATTACCAGCCAAGCCTCTGCATCGTATGGCAGAACAGAAATCTTGTTAGGTCCGATCTTTTTTAATGTAAAGAGGTTATGAACTTTCAATTGTCGACTCAATCTAAAGTAGCATCTGTTGTCATTAGTGATTCTGCTTTGGATTAGGTACTTTCCAAGCTCGATTCTACTTTGTAATCCAACTATACCTGGTGATACTGCAACCCAAGCGCCCCAAAGTTCTCTCAAGATACTCTTTCTGAGCTTTGCTTATAACAATCAGGTTATCACATTGTTCCATTGCTTTTTTAACATATTTCCCATTGAAGTCCACATCATAGATTATACCAAAGTGATTCTGTTTATCGAACGGCTTTGTGTAACTAAAAAGTAAGTAACACATTAAAGATATTTTTCTGATAATCTGTTCATTGCATATCCATACTGCCTTCTTATTTGCTCCGCAGGTAAGTAATGATTGTGGCTTATAATGTACTTCTCATGCCAGTTGACATATTCGCGGTTCACCTCCTCTGGTGATTTAGGCGGTAATATAAGATCATATAAAGATTCAGATCTCTTCGTGAAGTCGCCAAAAGTCGTATTATCATTTGTAATGTTCTCAGGCTTGGAGTCTAATGGAAAAACTTTACCCAGTTCCGATTTCTTGAAATACATATTTTCGGCGAATTTTTCTCGAAATACAACAAATCTACTCTTTTTTAATTCAGGACTCAATAATTCTTTGATGTTCTCTTCTGGTATATAACGCTCGAATGGCAATAAGTCGGCACGCGATTTCTTGTTTTTAAGTAGACATTTTGTAAGCATTACATTTTCTGCTGCCTCCTCCGTTGAATACATTTTCAATGCGTCCTCGGCTTTGTCTTTCGATATGAAAGATTTTCCAGCTGCACGCAACGTCGGATTGCGATCCACGAATTTTCCACTGTTACTCATATCTCTTTAATGTTTAATTAAAAAATAAAAATATAAATATTTTTCTCCCACATTTACTTATTCGAAAAAAGACTAGCTAAATTTGTCAATCAAAGAATTTCATTATTTTTGTGATTGAGGAAGTTTGTTAAATAAATCAAACATCAAGTAGAAGCTCCGAATCGATCAGGATTGCAGGGAAGTATTGGGCAGAGCTAGACCAGTTGGCGGCGGAGTATTCTGAGGTAATTATCTCTAATGAAGGAGAACTTCGGAATCTAATACGCACAGTTCAGTTTAGTAGTGATTACAATGAGTACATTTAGTTTTCGGTCCCAGCTGAGGGGGCGGAAGTTTGAAGGCGGTAATTCTGAGATATTCGAAAGCTGCTCGTAACATTGCTATTTGGGTTCAGATCATATTGCCTTTATGGAGGTTAGTCTTCACCGAGCCAGACTAAAGTGATGGTGAAAGCATCGGAAATAGTAAAGTTAAGCCTACAAGCGGTGTCGGTAGAAAATACTTCAAATAACTCTTAATCATTTGAAAAACATCGGCTCCAGGAGTCTAGCGCTTACGGATGAGCTATTCAATTATGCTGGCTAAAAACGCACAAAATACATGCATCAGCTACGAATGTCGACGAACCTGGGTTTGGTTTGCTCAACCCGTAAGAAGAAGGAGCCGAATTCCTCTACAACAACCATCATCGATTAAGTGAAATATATCAGATAATAATACTAATAAAGGCTAACGCTCAGGTATTTGTATATCTTAATCCGAATCTTGAAAAAACCAGTAAGAAAATGATCGTTGTAAAATACTTGGTCATTCATTCTGTCAGTACTTCCCTTGTCGGTTAAATGATTAATATTGGGAAGGAAGAAAATTAAAAATTAACCAATTGGCGGGTGAGAGGACGCTCCTGTCGTAGCAGGCTAGTCTCTACAACCATCGGTTCTCATTCCGGAACAAGGTTTGTCACCGCTATTTTTACCGCTACTGCAATTATTTTTGGTAGGTTTTAGATTAAAAAAAATAATAAAACGCAATGCCGATTTCCAAGCGCGTCCTTTTTTCAAAGTTCATTCGTTAATTGACTATATTGTAAATCATTTTAACGTTTTCGAAAATGCACGATATGTGTCTATACCTTTACATACGTCTGGTATAACAGATAAGAAATCGATATTCTATCAACGATTTTTCTAATAAACACTCACCCCTAGCAAATCATTCCAGAGAATGTTTAATAACAATTGTATTTACATTCTCTGATCATTCTGTTTACATTTGAAAGTACAAAAAATAGTCATTCCACAATTAAAAATATATACTGATTATTTTGACAATGCGTTGTAAAATAAATCGTAAAAAATTACCTATCAACTTGTTGCGGCAACGAAATCGGGAGCAGCGTCATTCAGTGCTAAAAAAAAGTAAACCCAAAAAGCAACAGAAAATAAAAATTGATAAAGAGCTAAAAGATCATGAGGCATTCGTCCGATATACAGAACTACAGCTAAAAAAAATTTTAGAGTCTGATGAAGTGCTATCAGATATTCCATTTGACTGCACGCCACAGGAACTTCAAGGAGAGGTAAATCCATTTCATTCATTTCATTATTGTAAAAGTCTTGTAAGGTTTTTCCCTAATATTTCAGATAGCAATAGCAAACGGTTATGGAACAATAATTTATGTAGAACGTGATGGACTATCAACACTGACCATAATTGTAAGTATATGAACTTAGGCTTAAATCGGGTTAAAAAATTCGGAATGCATTATTTGTTTTTATTTTTAATTGGTTTTGTTGGCATACGCAACGCTGCGAGTTAGGGACTCAAGAATTTACCCGCGGTAAGGCATGCCTGTCGTGAGAGGCGACTAAAATATAATCGTTCACGAGACAGTCGGGTCTTTATACCGGAACGACCCGGATTTTTATCCGGCCAAGGACTGTCACTCCCGCAACATTCCCCAAAAACTACTTTGGGGAATAAATTTGCGGTTACAACAACAACAACAGCAGTGGAAAAAGCAGACGACTTTTGAAAATATTTATATCCATATAAAGCGCATTGAATATGCGAATATCGGCCATAACTATCAGGACAGTGGGTGGACTTAACGCGCACCACGATCTTTGGTATTTTAGTACGAGGTGTGTTCAAAAAGTATCGCGAATTTTTAATTTACACGGGTTACGTATAATCGAATTTTGTTTTTTTTGGTACTCATGTCTGTCACCTATGCCGACAAGCTCGGCCATTTTGAATGTTCACTTAATTGTTGACAGCTGCTTTGCTTGCACGTGTTGTGTTGGTCTTCGATTTTTAATTTTTAATGAAAGTTTTGCTGACTGTTTTCTTCGATTACAGGGGCGTGGTGCATCATGAGTTCTTGCCACAGGGTAGAACGGTCAATAAGGAATATTACCTGCAAGTTATGCGCAGTTTGCGCGAAACAGTCCGCCAGAAACGTCTGGATTTGTGGAAGAATAAAAATTGGCTTTTGCACCACGATAACGCCCCTGCTCGCACATCGTTGCTTGTGCGCGACTTTTTGGCAAAAAAAACACACTAATGATGCCGCAGCCAACGTATTCCCCAGATCTGGTCCCCTGTGACTTTTTCTTGTCCCCTAAACTGAAGAGTCCCATGAAAGGACGACGTTAAGCTACGATTGACGAGATAAAGATGGCATCGAAGGAGGAGCTGAACAAGATAAAAAAAATGATTTTTTGAAGGCTTCGAAGATTGGAAAAACCGTTGACACAACTGTATAATATCTCATGGGGATTACTTTGAAGGGGACAAAATAGATATTCATGATTAAATAAATAATTTTTGAAAAAACACAAGATTCGCGATATTTTTTGAACACACCTCGTATGTGAAATAAAATTAATATACTTGACTTGAATAGATGATTAACGATCCGAAAAAAGCAGCATAACTTGGCGACCTAAGCTAAGTCTCGCATCATACCATTTGTCCACGCATCTCGGGACTTATACGAACTTTAATGAGGCTGTTATGCTCGATTTCATTTACTGAGAACACCTTCAGTGGCCTTCCCACTACGATTGAGTAAATCCGCTCACATTTTCTTATTGAAGCCATTCGATTCTTTTTTTTTAGCTTTTCAGCGCCAACAGGAGACTCCGAATGGAGCGAAGTCCTTCTCCTAACCTAGCCTTTCAAACGGAGTGAATATCGTTTCCTTTCTCTACTGCATCGAATACTTTGAAATCTGAAGTCGTATCCCAATTAATCCGCTTAGGAGCTTTGGAGGCATGCAAATAGTTGGTTAGTGTCATGCGGGATCTCTTTTCATACAAGATTCAACGTAGATATGTCGGGTCAAGTCTAGATTGGTAGGAATTAAGTAGACTACAATATCCAAATCTTAATTGTGCAAGTAATACTTAGTTCTATCGAGCAGCTCGAGCTCTTCCCCTGCAATAGGTGAAATTTGGATTTCGAGAACACCATTCACTGTCATCTTGAAGCTCCCTTCTCTGCCAAAAGGCGTTCCATTGATCTCAGAAGCCGATGACTCCTCGATATTGGCATTTCGTCGGGATATTGATAACTTATGTTCGAAAGTATACTGCTATCTCGCCTACATTTTCCACTTCTTCGGCTACCCTTTTCACTTCACTTACTCGGCTACCAGTTTTACCAGTTGAACGAAAGAGCACTGGTTTAAACTCAATGACGCAAAAATTCCGACACCTAACAACCAAAGCTTCACTCAGCATACAACTCCCGTTGTCGCTATTCATAGGTACTTATCCGAACTTAGTAAATTTTACAGATTATGTCTTTAATCACTTATTAAAAGCTACCGAAACTGTTAGCCATGTCGTGCTGCTATAGCGTAGTTGATAGGTTATAAGTCTTTTCATCACATTCATACATACATATGTGTGCATGGACAAAAAAAAAAAAAAGAAATAATACCTGGTTCCAAGCTATCCACTTCTTGCCATTTGTTGCTGTCAAGATTCCCACAAGAATCAACAATAAAATTGTGCTACTTGATTGCTAGGCGCTAAGTGTTTAACCAAATAAGAGAATTACTTAGCAGTTGCTTTTTGAAATTAGGGCACTATGACAAAGCTTTTGTTGTAGCTAGAATAAGAAATGTTTACTATGTATGTGTGGCACTCCACGTAAGGTCCCGACTATTAAGTATGTAAATAGTAGTCAGTCAGATCAAAAGTGAAACTATTCTGGTGATCGATTTGTTTAGGAAAATTCAACATAAAAAAAATACTTCTAACTTAATAATGCTAGGCTTCAAAGAGTCACTGACATGCTACCAACCATGGAGTCGTGGGCTTATATATCATCCATTCATGGATGGGCGTTAGCTTAATTTTAGATACGATTTTTTGTCGGATTCGTGGCCCGTGGTTGACTCCATAACAAAGCGAACTTCTTTAATATTATATATCTGTGTTATGTGCCGTCCACGATGAAGTTGGAAAAATCAGTTCCTACGAAGAATCATCTTCAAATTAGCCGATCCTGATTGACTTCATCGTAACTCGAAATATGGCTGTATGTACTTTCCCATACCAGCATAAGGGTATTCATCAAATTATATAACCGATCCAAATCAACCATGTAGTGACAGAGAGTAGACATATCTCTTTTGTTCTAGTGGAGGTCAAATCACTATCTTGTCGAAGAAAAGATACGATTCGATTTCCGTGCGTAAGAATCTGTGAGTATCACTTCGAGCCGTTTTACACATTATAGGATTTCAGATAAAGTTAGTTACAGACATGTGATGTGTCTTCAAATTAATTATTTGGAATAAAATATGCTATGAACTCAAGTAGAAAAGGTAAAACTTTCTGCAAGAACGTACGATTGTTATTGGAAACTTTAGAAAAAGTGTTTCCTCCATAAAATCAGATTATCTCATTGGTATCTGCATGACTGTGAGTCGGTAGCCCCATGACACGGGCGGAAAACCCCTTGGTTGTTTTTTTTTCAATTGCTGCGTGTTTTACCTTAACTATTGTAGAATGGGCCATTGGGTCATATACGCGGGGGTTAACAAAAGTTCTTAAGCCCAGATATCCATTTCTGAAAACAGTCTTGAAAATCTTGCTTGATAAGCTTAAAATCGAGTTCAGCATTAACCGCATTAATTATTTCCTCGTTGCTATTAAAAACCTTTCCTTTTAATTTTTTTTTAATTTTTGGAAATAATCAGAAATCGTAAGGGGCTATATGCGGGTAATATGGTGCTGGACGTATTTCTTCGATCCAGAGATCGCAATAAAATACTCTCTATAGCGCGTTGTCATGATGTAAAAAGTAGCACCGCATTTCCTCTTTCTTCCACTCTTCGGTGTACCATTTTGCAGTTACCGTCTGACCCTTTTTAAGTGGAGTCGCAGCTCCGATTTTAGATTGAGTGAAGTAAACTGGCATCATTACTCTTTTGCTGCTGATTTATGTTGCTTAGATTTTACGGATGGGTTTGCTCCTGTTGGGCTCCAAAGCATGGACTGCTGTTTGGTTTCTGGTTCGTACTTATAAAAACAAGATTTGCCACCAGTAACGACTTTACTAATGTTGCTAGACTGACCATTTTCGTATTTGTCTAGGAAAAATTGAGCAAAATGCACTCGAGCCTCTTTTTGGGCCTCATTTAAAATTCGTAGTACCCATAGAGCAGATTGCTTCGTGTATCCATACAGCCAATTCATTAGCAATCATTTCTTGTGTCAGTCATGGGTCTTCGTCAATTTTGGACTTCACCAAAGCTACAGTGACGTCATTAGTGGAAAATTTTTTCGACCTTTTCGGGGCTGACCCTCTACGGAAAAATTTTCGGGATTTGAAATCTTCGAAATAATCTTTAAAGACTGTGCTATTGTTCCATATGCAACTTGGCATTCACTGAATATTTGTATTGGCTATAAATTACGCTGAAACCCTAAGAAAATCACATGGCGAATTTCTGTTTGTCTTGTGCCTGTGTTTTCTCATCTCCACTTCAGTCGATCTTTCTAAACTTTGATAGGAGGACTAATAAAATAATTGCAAAGGGTTTGGTCTTTTTAGATTTAACAAAGTCAAATTGAAAGTCACCAGATGACCGAACTTTTGTCAATCCCCTCATATATACTCAGGGATACAGTTGGTTCAAGGCAATATGATCTTCAACTATTCATGCACGAAGTATGACGACTTCAATCATGAAAAGGATGCGCCATTAAAAAAATTTAATTGTGGTCTAAGCATTAACCGGCGAAATAGAAAATTTTCAATTCATCGCGTATATTTTTTTTTATAGAGAAGTAAGTTTTCTAATCTACACAATTGGAAATTGGTACCATCGATTTCAACGTATTTTCCCGCAATGAAAAGAGATCACTAAAATATCTCAAATTTAAAGAAATAACCAAATCAATAATAATAATAAATCAAGTCCTCAATAAACAGTAAAGTCCCTAACCCAATTAGAAGTGGTTGTGCTGGCTGTTCGTATCTTACTTTAAATATTTGCATGACCAAAGGAGCGCTGCAAACTCTTTCAAAATTTCAGTCAACGCGTTGCGACCACTCTACTGTTCAGTTATGCTCTGTCTCGTAAGTTTTATAAAAGCTCTCGGCGAGAATGTCCACCTCAACCCGCCCCTACTTCATGTTCGTGTCTCGCTTAACTTCGTGAACCCTTAACATTTTCAGGCGCGCCGCGTCAACACTACGTTTAATGCTTCACATAATTAATTAATTTGTTTTCAATTAAATAATGAAATTGTTTGAGGTATACTTAAGTTAGTGCAAGAATTTATTTATTAAGGCTTTTATTAGAAAATTTATATTTCTTTGCTATTTTCCTTAGGCAGTTTCATTTTTTTTAAAAAGCGTTTATAAAATTTTGAAATTTATTTATTTATTTTAAATTATTTGAATAATATCAAAATATCTCATAGTTTATTCAACCTCTCTGCTCTTTAGCTTTAAATTGGCTACTATTATTCATTCACATATACACATACATATGTACTTCTGACGTTTATGCATATTCATTATTATTTCATGAATTATGTTTCAAGTTCAATGCCTTGAACCCATACCAAGCTTCGTTTGTGACAAAATGCTCAATCGCCATAGTTTTAATGAATGTGTTGTTATGTTATATAAGGAGCTTTCATTTTTTGTTGCTTTATAAAAATAAATTAAAAGGTCTCAATTATATTTATTTGATGAGATTTGAGTATTCAAAAAATATGCATGGCATGAGAATTATTTACATATTCCAAGTCAATGTACTACTTAGGTATTTATCATCTAAATCATTTATATCGACAGAGCTGACCTCAGGCCTAGTGCTGGTTATATAACTAACTAATTCCAGTACTTATTATTAATAATAAAACTCCTCAATATGCCTTAGTAACAACTTAGCGTTCGTCTTAGCTGTCATGAGATTCATCTGTCCAGCAATAGATTGCGTGGGGCAGAAATGTTCGAATTCACGACTTATTAAGTGAATTTTCATAATTTTAGGCGATCATTTTCCGAACTTAAAAGAGAGACCCAACGATCGTAATTTCAGACATTCCTTAACAAGCAGTCGCCGGAGAACCAGATCTGTCAGCCACTTGGTTTTGATCATTACGTAACATTGGTTAGAATGTCTGATCTATCATACTACCGTCCTTTCAGCTTAGCTTTGATTAATTTTATAAAGATACCCAATTCTCGCTTCTTCACAGTCAGAAAATACATTGAGATGTTGGCTTACATGTTCTATCAAAAGGCGACCGCATTTAGTATCAGTTTTTCAATAATGTTTGATGAAATACCGGTCTGAAATTGAATTCATGATCCTCGTTATTATTTCATACACCTTAAGAAATTCCCTTTGCTATGAAACCAGTGCAATACTTTAGGTAAGACTCCTCACCATTTTGAAATTTCACCTCCACTTTAATACAACAACGCTCTCGTCTCTGTTCGCAATGTCGTGCGTTTAATACAACTTTCGGTCCAAGGTAAACTCGCAGTATTTTAGTTTAACAGCAAGCTGAAGTCGAATACGTGATATTTAAGAGAGAGGCGAAACAGGTATATCTTATAGCCGTGTAAACAACAGCGATTCATTCCTTCATTTCGCTGTCTGGCGGCAATTGGAAATACCAAGTACAATCAGGTCCATCTCTACCTGACCTTTCAAACGGAGTGTAGGTATTTCTCTTCAAAGCTGAGATATTCTTGTCCATCCGGACCACATGACCCAACCAGTGTAGTAGCTGATTCTTGATTCGTTGAAGTATGCCAATTTCACAATACTCACACAGCTCATCGTTCCACCGGCTACGGTATTCGTCGTTACCAACTCGTACAGGGCCATAAATCGTTTGCAAAACTTTTCTCTCGAAAACTCCTAATACTGACTAATCAGATGTTGTCATATGCCATGCCTCTGCACCATAAAACAGGAGGGGAATGATGAGGGACTTGTAAAGTTTGGTTTCCGTTCGTCGGGAGAGGCTTTTACTTTTCAATTGTCTACTCAGTCCAAAGTTGCATCTGTTGGCAAGAATGATTCTGCGTTGGATTTCAAGACTGACAATGTTGTTGTTGTTGTTAATACTGGTTGCAATATGGACGGAATTATCTACCGATTTGAGGTTTGACTTTCAATAGTGATGTGGTAGTCGTGTCCCAAATGCGATTACTGTTTGTTTGATGGTGAGGAGATATTTCGTCTTGTTCTCGTTCACTACCAAACCCATAAATTTCGTTTTCCTATCCAGTCCAGATTGTAGCTTCTCTATTCAGCTCTGCAACCCATATTCTTTGCTCCGGCAATAAATTAAAGCTGTCACACCATAAAAAGATCCCCGTTTCTGAAACATCGTTTGATATCAAATGGCTCGGCGAGGTTGTTCCCGAAAAAATCGTCCAAGCAAGATTTTCACAACGTGGCGGGTGTCGTGCTCATAAAAGCCATCCTTGGTCACATCGTACCAATAAGTCGAAATAAGTTGAGTCCAATCCTATTGCAAAGAGGAGCGCGTGTATAAAGTGCAAGGCGCCACACCTTTGAAGTTCCAACAGGGTCTTTATTGAAATGTGAAAACGTAAGAGAGCTCAGCTATCGCAACTTGTCTGAGACAAGCGCGCTTTCAATGCGTTTATTAAAACGATGTATATCGTACTTTCATACATTTATTTGGTGTGATATGTATGTTTGTGTATGCACATGGAAAACATTTATCGGTACCTGTAAACCTGTAAATGAATATATGATACATTGTAAAGGTGTCAGTCAGCTAGATGACAAATAAAAGTGGCGTGACTTGAAGCATGGTTTCTTCTCATTGCCAGATCTGCCCACAACCTACAGCGTACGATAACTTGTGCCACTCTTTATGTGCCAAGCAAAGTCCATTTTTTTTTTGTTTTTTGAATTGATAATAAATTTAATAGTGGTCAAAAGCTGAAATTTAACAGTATTATTGCATTACTTAGTGATTTTCGAATTGCAATTCATACAAAATTAAACTAAGTTGTTTTGGCTCTTTAAAACTAAATTCATTTTTTTACTTTAAATTTTTTATCATTAGTTGCCTCAAAAGAATCCAACTATTGCGAACTTGAAGAGAGCAATCGAATCAACTGCACGTGTACAACATAAACGAGAGTTGCGTGAGCGATATGAAAGCCGATGCAGAAGACGTCGTTTGTCCGAAGAAACTGGAAATACGAGCAACAGCCACGATGATTGCGATCATAGTGACAACAGCAGAGTGGCAGCATATCAGCAACGGCTACAGCAGGTTGAAACTTCTGCTGCGTGGTTGGCTGCCAACAGAAGTACTGGAGAATTCGTCTACTCCACAACGCGCTGCGGTCATCCACATCGTACAACGGTTTCATGGCGATTTCTATGGCGCGCATTCATGTTGATCGACCCTCAGACGAAAACGCCACTTTACGACGACGACGGACGTAAATTATTGACTGAATTTGGTATTGAGAACGGTGCAACACTACGCTTTTGCAAACGTGAAATCTATTACAAACGTCGCCGGCAATAATCAGTGTATTTCTAGTGGCTTCAATAAGAAAAAAATAAAATAAATAAAAGTAAAGTAACCACCACCATGTGTGGTATTCCCAAATAAAGTGAAACAACAATTGATTTGAATGGGTAAAGAAGTGTGTAACATATGTACATATGTATGTATGTATGTACATAGTTAAAAAGAAAGAATATACATATTTACATAAATCGCAACTTGTCCACGCGTAAGCTACTGCAATTCAAATGTTTAGACATTTAAAAATTTCCATGTCACTCAACATTTCGTCACCACTACTACCACCGTGTCGTACGAGCAGCAAGAAGTTAAGTGCAGAATATCCTACCAGAAGCACATACAATTGCACAGTGGCATTATTGTGTCGAAACGACGCATGCCTGCCCTCAGCCAGCATAAGAATTCAAAGATGAGTATGCCGTCGACGAAGGCGAAGTTAATTTGCTGTCGTCAATCCTTGTTGATCTCTTTGCTTGTGTTAACTTTTGTTTGTGTACTACAATTTGACCTCATCCGTGCTGCATTCGAAGAAGGCAACAACAACAATGTTAAAATTACCCAACAAAGTTTGGAATTAACGCAGACAATAAATATACAGCGACAGGAATATTTACAGAAACAATGTGAAACATTGGGTTATGGCGCGATGACATTGGATGATTTAACCGAGGAACAAATGGATCATATGATTGTGGATAGAGAACATAAGTTTCTCTACTGTTATGTGCCCAAGGTAAGTTTTGCTGGGGTGGAATACCGCAAAGAAGGAATCAAATTTCACGAAAATAAAATTGAAAAAATAAAATGAAATAAGAAAGTATCAATTAATCGTTAGCTCATTAAATAAATAAGAAATAGCGTACATTGCTAAACTAATAAGAAGAGCCATGTTGAATTTATACCTTTTATTGCCATATCAAATTTTATGATTTTTGATGTTTTTTGACGGATTTATTTTACTAAAAATCTCATTTCTGAACAAATCGGTTGTATAGGTGCTATGTGATATAGACCTCAGACTACGATGATTTGAGGTGACAGTGTTTATTCGTAGATAATAATGCCAAATTTTATACTTTTGGATGATTTTTTTTTTTTAGGAGTTTTGACTACATCTCTGCTATATGTGCTTTTTTCTCTTAGATGTTTTTTTATTTTACAAATTAGTGTTTCAAATAAAGCCAAATTAGTCAATGAAATAACTCGATTTATTGCAGGAATGTATAGCCCTTAAAATTTCTGTAATATAAAAGAGTAAACAGTATTTTACTTTAAATTAAATACAGTTAAAAATATTAACACTATTAAAAAACTGACTGATCAAAACTAAAGCACCCCTCTTATGTTTATTGCTCAAAATTGATTGATTGAAAATATGTCTTCAGCACATCTCTAGCGTAAAAAAAGCGGGAATATATTAAATCAGGTTCCTTTCGTCACCTCAAACTGTGCATAATTTTTTTTTTTTACAATTTTCCCTATAAATTTTCGAAATCAAAATCTCCAAAAAGTCTCAATTGAATTGAAATCGAGAGATTTAGCGGGTTAATATAAAATTATTTCATGTTTTTACTATATAAACAGATTTTACACTGCATTGAAATGAATTTGGCTTCGTTATTCTGTTGGGATATCCACTTTTGTGACATTTACTACCTAAGCGGCTCATTATTCCCTCTCCCAGATCAAAACAGATCCACCTCCATATCTGGTACATACTAACTACATGAAAGGTTTTAAGTAAATTTTTCCCATTAGTTTGCTAAAAAATACTACTCGGCCTGACTAAAAGTGTTGCAAAGTGGTACCATTGTGAATGGGCTACTGAAAATATCCTAAGGAAATACTCGCTAAACATTATTAAACTATTGAAACAGTCAGTGTTTGTTTTCCACTTAAATAAATAAATCAGCTTGGCGTTTTTTTGCAGGTCGGTTGGAAAAAGAAATGCGTATACTAAGAAAAACTGCGGATTTAAATATTTTAAATATTTTTCTTTGGAAATTAAAACACGCTTTTTTAATTTTACAAACACATCCAAATGAAAATTATTGCCAAAATCATTTAATGGTGGATTTAAAAAATTTATTTCATGCAAAATTCTTAATCTTCGCCGCTGAAGAAAATATTTCATTCTTAGTTTGCGTAATTTGGAGTGAAAGGTTGTTTTTCAGATATAAAATTTCGTTTGAGTATAAAAATAATTAGAAAAGCGCGCGATTTTCTGGTATATTCTTTAGGCCTATCAAGGATTCGAGTTTAATTTCTTTATTCTTGGTAAAAAAGTCAAAGTGGGGTAAATCATTTGAATACAGAGGCTGAGGCATGATTACGTACAAGAAAAGACGTGTGATCATTTTTTGAGCCCTATTAGCAGAGTGATTAGCGTGCTACCATGCGGTGGGTCATGGGATCGAACCTCCAATCCCAATCTTTTGGCGCGTGCTTCATCACAAAAAGTTTTTTTTTTGGCGCTTCTGTTGTATCAAACATTTCCATATACAATATTTCGATCATAAAATACACAAAATATTAAATATTGAAAAAATTAATAGTTCAACGAGAACGTAAAAAGAAAAACAAATTAATTTTATTCATATATCAAGAATTTCGTATTTTTAACTATATGCATAATATAGTCAAATTACATTTATATATCATAACGTGATACATATGTACATATGTGTAAATTAGTTTCGCGTGAAACTATATTTTTACATCGATAATGAAAATATTTTATTTTGTATTTTTATGGTCATTAGCATTTGTAATGAGTGAGAAAAGCACATTTCTATACGTAAATATACATACATGCATGCCTACTACACACCTTTGAATTATAGAAGTACATACAGCTATGTTCAAAATAATAGCAGTAACAAGAAACCAATTTTGTTCCAAATTTGATTGATGAACACACCGGACCAGCACCTTATTTCGCCTTTTTGCATTGGCAAATTTTTGTTTTAGCTTGAAGCTTGTAGAAAAGTGATTTGCTTTCTGAAGGCTGATTCACGCCAAAATCTTCTCGCCTTAACTAACTTATTAATGTGAGATTTAAAAAACCTGGCTTGTATTAAAATATTCTTGAAGCGTAAGATCATTTGAAGGTTGAACAGCTTCTTGTTTCACTTCACTCAATCGCGTATCGCTCAATCGGCAAAGTAGGGATTTCCTGTAAGTAGACTTAAGGTTATGGACTTGGTAGCTCAATGACCTATCCTCAACTTCATACAAAACCTATAGACAGACGTTGGCGTATTAACATAATCACATTAATCAGAAGACAAATTTCTCTAAAAAACCTAAAGTCGCCACGATTTCAACGATTCCAAATCCAAAAAATATCATTAAAATTGTAAAAAAGTGATAAAAGACAAAAATGAAGAAAAGAAAAGAAAAAAGGGTCCATTTTCCTTGGATCTTCTCTAAAGTCTAAAAAAACTTTCCATACTCTTTTTTTTCATCAGCCAAATGTTATAGATTATACTTAATCATCAATCAATCACTGTCATTAAATCTATACATACATATGTACATATGAATATGTATATAACTCGCTGTAGCGATTTTCTGCCGAGCTCCTCCGCCAATTTGTGGCACGCTTCTTGATGTTTTTCCAACAAATGGAGGAACCTATTAAGGCGCCTCTCGAAAAGTTACCAACCGATTTACTTGAAATTTTGTCAGTTTTTTTTCCTACAGTTCCAGAAAGTGGACCAGGGACTGGCCTATGCTTCGATTTATTTGAAATTCGATAGAAGTTTGGCTTTCGGTTAGGTTAACAGGAGGACTACTCTTCTCTCCTAGAAATTGATCAAGGGCAAACCTATTTGAAAAAATCGTAATTATGGTTCAATTCACTTAAAATTCGCTACATAAGGCTTTTTGCTTAGATTTAGCAGGAAGACTACTGTTTTCTCCAAAAAGTGGGCTAGAAACTGGCCTATTCGAAATAATCTATTCACTTGAAATTTGGTTCATAGATGGCTTTTTGCTAGAAAATCATGTTTATAATTATTTTTATTTGAAATACTTTTTATTTGCAGTAGCTACGTCAATAATATAATAAAAAACTAATATTTTGAATACGAAAATGCTTAATTAGTGTTTTTTTTATTGTTCTTTGCAATAGCTAGTAAAATAAAAATTGGACAAAGTATAGGAAACCAAAGCAACGTCTGCTAGTCTCTTTTTTCAAATGTACCGCTTTATAGAAACAAACCAAAATCTAAGCAAATAATATGCTTCAAAAGAATTCTGAATGAAGAACCTTGCTTCTTCTCAGGGACATGTAACATTTTGTGTAATAACTTCGGCCACTCCTATTTTTATGGACACAGCTGTTCAAACATTATATGTGTATGGAAGCATAAAATATTGTATCTTGTAATTTGAAACTTTACTAGATTACCAACACCTCGTATAAATGCCGAACTAAGCAAAGTCGCCTAACTTCAGTTATTTCGAAATTTTGTTATTAGCATGCTAAAGCTACTCGTATATACATACTCGTACATATATACATATATACGTATACACATATGTATGTATGTACATAGTGTAATTTTATATAATTTTATGATAGAATACGATAATCAAAAACCTGCTATTTTCTGTAGGTATGTACATATACTCCTTTTTGAAAATTTGATACTTGAAAATGCTCTTTGTTCTATTTGACAGACTTCTTCGGCGGTCATGGTTTGGGGCTATAAACTTAGCTGCTATCTCATTTATTTTTTAAAACTATACATTTACAGAACAAAACTTGTTATCGTACTGTACTCGTATGTATGTATGGATAAAGTTGCAAGCAAAAGGTATAGTTTTCAAAGAAGACGCAAAACTACTTAATTACTTACTGGGGTTACCGACATGTGGAAATACGAATCTACTTTTTTTAATATAGAGTTTTCCATTTCGTGATTCCAAAGGATTGGTCTGTATTTTGATATCTGAAAAACTAAACTGTCAAACTAAACATGTTTTGTTTTAGTTTAAAGTCAGATATTTATGAAAATGGATCGCTTAACAACCGCACATTCGCCGATTGAGTGCTTGAAGAACAAGCAGTGAACGGCGATATTTCGGACAAAGTTTCCTTCGGGCAATGTGTCTCTCATTCAGGAAGTGACCTTCATAAGCAAATTTGCCTTGTTAAAGAGAAACCATTACATTTTATTGTTTATTATTTTTTTTAATAATTACGAACGCTATTGAATCTCATCTAATATGCCGAACAGCCATTTTACATACCTCCCAGCCGTACCATCCAACAAAGAAAGGCATGTATTGTCAAAAGGTATGGTCGTTGCTTACAGCCGCCAGTGTGCTTTTATACTTTTAAACAAATTTATAATTTTCGTACAGAACAGAAAAATACTCAGTTCGTTTCAAATTTATTTACAAAAGTCTCTACTGGCAGCCTTGTACAATAGAAAGCAATCAGCTGAGCCGATTTAACGGGGCGAAAAATCGCCGGTGATTTCTACTGGACAAACGTCAGTAATGGCATCGAAAAGCGGTTGTCACAGCTGAGTCGGTATACTTTTGGACATAAGGAACACGCTTAAAGTTTTTATATGCCCTGGCGATAGACAACCTCATTTTGAAAATAAAAATCGTAAATATTTCTAGATGTTTTCGAATTAAATGTTTCCTTAATTGTTCGAGACGAAACTGCTACACTCTGATTATACCATGCGCCATCACCCCCTCGGTCGCTGTTTA